CTCAGCAGAGAAAAAGAAATACATATAGACACACAAGTAAAAATTTTGAAGCTGAAAGACTGAATATCTCAAATTAATATTTACTGGATGAGCTCTACAGCAGAGAGGGGATGACAGAGGGAAGGGTCTGTGAACTTGAGACAGATAAATATGGGTTATATAATAAAAGGAAAAGTTAACACCACTTCAGAAGGCTGCTGCTGCAAACATTCATGTTATTGAAATTCCAGAAGAAGAAGAGAAAGAAATTCACAGAGAAAATACATTTGAAAAAATGGTGAAAGAAAGCTTTTTCTAAATTTGCTGAAAGGCATTACTGTACAGATGCAAGAAGTTCGGTGCACCCAACTAGGGTAAGCGCAAAGAAAACACTCCAACATGTTATAGTCAAACTGTTGTAAATCAAAGGTGAAGAAAGAATCGCTGGCTAGGAATATACCACACACCCATAATCCCAGCTACCGGGGATGCTGAGGCAGGAGGATCACAAGTTTGAAGTCAGCCTAGCAAAACCCTATCTCAACATAAAAAATTTAAAAATGACTGAATGTAGCCCAACACGCCCTGAGTTCAGTCCCCAGTAACCCACACACACAAATTCACACACATATGCATCAGAAAAGTAGTAAGAAGAAAAAAATGGTCAATTATACATAAAGGAAACTATGGCCACAGGTCTCGCATCAGAAACTATCAATCCAGAAGACAGTGAAATAATATCTAAGATAGAAGAAAACAGTAAGGTAAAAATATCCTCAAGTACTTCAGGTAAAATCAAGGCATTCTCAGATGAAAAAATCAACACCAAGAGATTTGGCCTAAAAGAAATACTAAAGAAAGTCCTTTGTTCCTAAAGTGCCACCTTTTCCTTGGGTGCAAGAAGAAATTGTACCTAGGGAAAAGGTGGCACTTCAGGAACAAAGAAGCAAAGATGAATGCCTGAACAAATGCTTTTTTCATCTTATGTTCTTTAAAATATTGTTTAAGCCAGATGTGGGAGGCGTATATCTATAATCCCAGCACTCAGAAGGGCTGAGGCAGGAGGACTGGTGTGAGTTCAAGACCAACCTGGGCTACAAAGAAAGTTTAAGGCCAGCCTGAACTGTATAGTGAGACCTTGTATCAAAAAGACAAAAAAAAAAATTGATTAAGTTACTTAAAATAATTATTAAAGGCAAAAATGATAATGTTTCAATGGATATAATATAGAAAAAACTAGCCTTCAAAGAGAAAAGGATAAAAGAAACTGTATGTTGTAAGACTTCTGTAATTTGCTTGAAATAGTAATATTAACTCTACATACACTGTCAAAAGTTGGGTGGGTACATTATAATTTCAAGAGTAATCACTAAAAGAGACCACAAAGAAGCAGCAAAAAAGCAAACAACTAAAATAAAATACTATGAAAATTCAAATAATTCAAAAGTAGTAAGGGCCAGCAAGATAGCTCAGTGGATAAGATCCTGCTTTGGCAAGCACAGGGACCAGGGTTCAATCTCCAGTCCCATATCCTGCACCAGCCCCACATCCGGGGTGTGCTGAGCTGGTGAATGAGTCCGGACATGGTGGCACATACCTGTTCTCCCGGCACTGGGGAGGCTGAAAACAGCAGGATCTCTACAAATCTGAGAAGTGTACCGAGATCCTATACCAAATACACAAATAAAAAAATTTTTAAAAAAGTAGTTAGAAAAGAGAATAAAATAGAGGTAGCAAACAAAAAACACAAAAAGTGGTCACATTAAATCCAACCATAACAACAATTTTATAAAATATAAAGTTTTAAACACCAATTCAAAGACAAAAATTTTCAGATTTAATGGTTAGAAAGGCCTAACCCCATGCAGATAGAAAAAAACACATATTAAATATAGTTATATGGGTAGATTTCAAGTAAAATGAAGAAAATGATAATACCATACAAACACAATCAAAAGATTGAGTGCTGATATGTTTTAAATACAGTAGACTTTAAAACACTTGGGGAAATTATCAGAGACAAAGGATCCTATATTGTGACAAAGGGGTATACTCACCAGCGTGTATATATAACAACAGAGACCCCAAAATAATGCAAAGCAAAAGCCGTCAGAACAGAAAAGAAACAGACAAATCCGTAACTGTGCTAGAGATGTCATTGAACATTCATGTGAAGATCCTGGCCAGTTGCTCTCCATGTTGCTCTGTAGGCCGAGCCTCTCTGTGCCTCTGGTTCTTCCGGATAAGTAACCTGTCCCGGGGGGCCGGGTCGAGGGTGAGTGCAGGGCCGCATCAGCTGGGGACCGTGAGCACGGCCAGACAGCAGCTACTTGGGGGACGTTTAGGGGAAACTGGGCTGGGGAGATAGCTTGGCAGCCTAATCTCCTTCCTGGCAAGCGCAAGGACCTGAGTTTGATCCCTGCTACTGCATGCCATGCTGGCCCAGAAGCCGGGCATGCATGGTGGTGCATGCCTGTGATCTCAGCACTGGGGAGGCTGAGACAGGAAGATCACTATGAGTCTGAACTACACAGTGAGACCCTGTATCAAGTAAATAAATAAAGTTTAATACTAATTCTCTCTCTCTCTCTCTCTCTCTCTCTCTCTCTCT